TATGCCAACTTAACCGTCTTTATAATGCTTTGTGCCATCGCACCAGCAATTCTTAGGAAAGAAAAACATTTATTTGCGTACTTTTGGCTTATTGTTTCCTTTGCATCCTAGTTATTTTGCGGTTGGTGTATTAACTGTGATGACTTTATCCCTCTGTTCTCTGGTGGCTGGGATGAATTTGTTGTGCAGTGTTTTTCTCTGACCTGAGGCGTGCCGTCCTCGGGGTAGAGGGCTCGCTGGCAGATTGCGCCTTCCCGGCCCTCTCCTTGTGTTTTGCTTACTTACAACAAATGCAGATTTACAACTTTAGATGAAATGCATGGTTTCAGAAGTAGGAAAACAGATGATACTTTTCGTATTTAGATGAAGAAGCAAAACAACCTTGAATAAAAGATGAATCCTGATTTTTAGAAATTTGTTTACCAAGAATTGCACAATTGTGCATAATTTGATTTACTTCAGATTGGTTAATCATGTACTGATAAAAACTGGCCACAAAGAACATGCTTATTCTGGATTTTAAAATTTAAAGAAAATGAATATATTGACATTTGTGCAGAAACAATAATGATACCACCGTCGTTGGTTGTTTTCCTAGAATTCCTACCGAACCCCAAATTTATGACATCAGGACTTCATGCCTGTGCTTAGAAGTTCAGGTCACGTTAGTGGGGAGGTAGATGACTTTAGGAAAGCCATTGAGATTCTTCACCTTATTCATTCTTCCATAGACAGAGTATGTTGCAATCCATTTAGTTCATGCTTTCTTGGTCATGATCATGCCCAGGTGTGCCTCTCTGATGCCCACCATTCAATTCGGCCAACATTTACTGAATGGCTACCGAATCCCAGGCACCAGACCGGCACACACAAATGGATACAGTCCCTGACTTCGAGAAGTTGGCAGTCTAGCGGAGAGACAGACACATCAACAGATCATTATAATACAGTTCAGTTCGATGGGGATTCGATTTGGGGTGTTTCAGAAATTCTTCAGTCACTTTCTTCAAACAGTCTCTTGGGTCACTTCCACAGATGGCTCATTTCCTCCATTATGTTTTGTCCATCCTCATTTTACCCTGGATTTTCATTTTGCCCAAGTTTGCTCTTGATTCTCCTTTGACCAGACCACCTCCTTAAAGACAGCACAACCATTAAAAGTAATACAGAAAATCTCTACGTGCAGAGATAAAAATTATCCTACACTGATAAATGAAAAATGTGATTTGCCTTAGTATGCTCAGGATGAATCCCACTTGTGAAAATATATTTTAAAAATATATAAATATATAAAATATATAAATATATCCAATTGGATATTGGATATGATTTGAACATATTTGGAAGAATATATGCCCATCTGTTAGCAATGGCTACTTTCGGGAAATGGGTTGGGGAAGGAAGAGGCTTCAACTTTTTGTTTCATAGAATTCTACTTTATTTGATTTTTTTTAACTTAAAAAACTTCTTTAAATATTTTGAAAAAAATGAAAATACTGCTTAGTTCTCTGTTATTTAGCCCAACAAACCCAAGCTAAACTAAACTGCATGTCCTTTTTTGAAACCTTAATCCACTCTTTCCATCTTAATCTCTCCAAACCCCCCCAGGAAGCCAGGCTCCCCTAACACTCTGAGCATATTCATTAATATCTTACATCAACATGTATTCGTTGTGTGTTCACAACGAATTCACAACGAATATGTGCGCTGGGAATTTATCAGAGAAGAAAAGAGCTTTGGCCAAGAGGCACATTCCCCTCACCTCCCGCTGCTCCGTGTCCTTTCCTGCCCTCCCTATGTGCTCTTCAAGGCCCACCTCCTCCAGGAAGTCTTCCTTTCTTCTCCCTCCTCTGCATCTGTATGTGGTCTATATGAAGCTTTTGAAGATTCATATCACCTAAAGGCTCTAGGAGAATAGTCACCAGATCATCTACATTTTTGTATGTTCAGTCTTTTTTTATTAATCATATATTTAGTGAATACAGTAAGGTTAGAGTAGGGAAGCTGGCACAGACCACAGCCTTGTGAAGTGGAGGGAAGCTGCATGAAACAGGTAATGATGCAAAGAACTCCTTCATGAGGAGTGTGATGAATACTACGAAGGGGAAGTAGAGAGTGTTAGGAGAATATGTACCAGGGACATGGATGCTGAACCGAGGGTGGGGTTTGGAAGGCTTCTCTGGGGAAGCCAAATTTAGCTGGGATTTGAAGGGCGAGATGAGGTGTTGGAGGGAGGCCCCCAAGAGGGCAGAACCATGGTGCACAGGAGGAAGTGAACGTTGGCAGGGGTAGCTGAAACGCGGGGAGCCAGAGGGGCAGAATTAATAGAGGAGGCTGAAGGGGCAGGCGAGGGTCAGATGGTGCGTGGCCATGCATGCCACCTTAGTGAAGCTGGGCTTCATTCTATGACCAAGGGGAGCCACTGGATGCTTTTAACTGGAGGACAGACAAAATTGCACTTGCCTTTTAGAAAAGTCCCCATGGCTGATGAAGGGGGATGCACTAGAGAGAGCCTGGGTGTTTCTAGCAGTGCCTGGCCAGTATGTACTCAACGATTTGTGGGCTGATTGATAATACAGTGAGTGCTTTTCCATCAGGTTCACATTTCTCTCTACATTTCCATGTCTCACCATCCATCTGGCACTTTTTCCTATGGCCTCTTCCCTACCAGTCCTTCAAAGAACTCTGGAATTTTCCTCTTTTAAAAAAAGGAAAAAAAGACTTAAACCAGCACTTCACAAGAGAGGCTAACCAAACTGCCAGTACACATGTGTAGAGGCAATCAACTCTATTTTTGTAATCAGTGAACTATAGTTATAACCCATGACACCACATACCAGAATGATGGAAATTTAAAAGAGTGACAATAACTGGTACATTAAGGGACTCTTGATGCTCTGCTGGCGAGAGTAGTATGTAGTTCACCCTCTGGAGAAAACTGGCAGTATTTCCTAAACAATGAACATAACTTTACCCTATGACACAGAAATTGCACTGGAAGATGTGCACAAAGAAATTCATGGCAGCATTACTCATAATAGCCCCAAACTCAATACAATGTGTGAACATGGATAAATCGTGGTATATTCATCCTATAGAGCATTGGAAAGAAATGAACTACAGCTACACCAACAATATAATGTAGAGCAAAAAGAAACCAGACTTGGAAGAATATATACTGTGATTCTAATTACATAAGGGTTTAATTCAGGATCGTGGTTACCTTTGTCGAGTGAGGGAGGGGGTAGAGACTGGGAAGGGCCAGGAGCATGGGTGTGTCTGCAGGTGTTCATTATGTTCTCTTTCTTGACCTGACAGTTGTCCCAAGAATATGTTCACTCTGTTCAGCTCCAATCATTGACCTGCGTGCTTAGGATTTGTGCACTCTTCTGTATGTATATTGCATTTTAACAAAAAAAATAAATAAAATAATAAGAAGAGAAAACTTAATATTCTGTCCCAAAAAAGTGAGAAAAGAGCTCAAGATACCAAAGTGGTCTCCTTCTCAGCTTTAAGTTTGTCGCAAGGGTAACTTCGGACTTAACTTGGGGGTGAGTTCTTTCTCTCTGATCTCGTCTGCTGTCATTGTCTTCTGCCCAGCCCTTCCTCCAGGGATGCTAGCTGGGGGATGCTGTTCACCAGGACCCTCAGTGCTGGGCTGTGCTGACTTCTCCTTTTGGAGGATTTTTGTTTGTTTGTTTGAACCCTGGTTTTGATGGCACAGTCTTTTCAGACTTGATTCTCTTCACGTCTTTTGGATCACGCCCTTTGGTTATTTCTCTAAGTCACTCACTTAGCTCTCCTCCAGGGCTCCTGGGCATTTTCTTTCTCTTTCCAACTATATGATACACTGGGCAGACACTCTGTCTTTACTTTGCACATTTTTGAATTATTCACAATTATGGAAAAAACTACGTTTTAGCTTTGCAACTAAAAATGTAATACAGCTATATTTTTAAAAAATTCTGGCTCTGCCACATTGACTTATCTTGATGCCATTGGGCAAAGATTTTTCACACCTGAATGATATACCCTCACCATTTATGTATTACCAATTCTATGCTAGTGTTTCTGGATTAATGTTTCCGTATGGAGCTGTGTAACCACAGAGCAAGTAACCTTAACCTTCCTGACCTCAATTTGTTTGTTTATAATGTGGATAATAACAGTCCTCTTCCCTTGTGGTGGTTGTGAGATTTGAACAAAGTATTACATACAGACCACTTGGTACAGAATAGTTGCTCAGTAAATGGGAGTTATCCTTGTAATCCCACTAAGGGCAGGAAGTACCGTTGATTTGTACCTGCAGACCTCAAGGATTAAAGAGAGTAGGATGTGGGATTAAAGAGAGTAGGATGTACTATTCTGAGGGGTTGATTGGTAGAGAACAACTGGTCTACCTGGTCCTACTGATGAATTCGTCTCTTCCCTAAAACCTCAGTCAGCGCCAAGGGAAGGTCAGTTTGGTTTGGAGACAGACGCAAATAAAACAGATAAGGCTGCAAAATGTTTGATTTGTTTCACACCTGGGTGATTATTTTGCCGACAAGAAATGGGGAGCAAGAAGAGTGCTCCATATCTTAGAGAATCTTGTAAGATGCTTTAACAAATATATAAGAATCATATATAATTGGCACACGCTTTGTTTGAATGCAAACACTGCTGTTAAAGTAGTGCTTAAAAACAGTTTGTTGGCCTTCTTTTCGTACAGGAGAAACATTCCTCTCGTTTACACTACTCTCTTGCTTAGCAGACCCTTATTTATCCTATAATGCAAGCATAATCTGCCCAACATGTCCAAATGCCCACAGTTCTGATTTAGCGGAGTCTGAATTAGTAGGACTTTTTGCTGTTTCTTGTGAAGACGAGTATTTGAAAACCACCTCTCCAACAGTTTCAAGGACATGACCTCTTCCCTGCTCTTACCCTCCTCTGCCACTTTGTGTGTGTTTCAGTTCTGGCTTTCAAAAGAGACAGAGGAAAAAAGACTCAGAAGTGTATTCTTAGGACATTTGAATAGTTATTTATTGAGAAGCCACAGTTTTCCACACTTTCATAACTGTAGGCTTTATATAAGGCAAAAGCAAGATGGATCCACTACTTTACACAGAAAGAAATAGCTCTGCAGAGGACCCGAGGGGTCATGCAGTTACAGATCAAAATGCAATGTACATAACAGATATAAAAAACTGTGGAACAAAATAAATTATGGTTACAATCTACTGAAGGAAATACCCATATCTTATTATAAACACATTTAGAGTCTAGGGTGGTAATTTAAATATTCAGGTTTTTTACATACACGGTTATTAAAACATAAAAGCAAAATGTAACGTTTAATAGGATAAACTTTGACAGAAGACAGTTGCTCTGAACTGTGCTTGGTGTTAACTCATGATAGGATCACCCTTGCCGTGGCAAATGAGAGGATCAATCCATTGGTATGTAGCCATCCTTTTCTGGCTAACTATGCGGATCGATGGAAGGATGAGTTAACAAGGAAACCGGGGGTTCATTTTTCATTTCAGGGGACCACAAAGAACCAAAAGTTGTTTGCCGGAGCCTTGCCTTTTGTTTTCCAAAAAAACAAAGCAGATCTATGTATCTTAATTAAATTAATTCATTGTACTCATTTAAATAACTGGCATCCACGTAATGTGAAACAAAGAAGTGAAATACTTGGTATACTTGCCCTCACATCCATTTACTGTCAATGCAGACACAGGACATTAATGAAGCATCATTTAACTCTGCTGAGAACAGGAACACACCTAGCAGTTGGACTATGTATTTTCCATGAACGGTATTTAAAGAATGGTGCTCCATATTGCTTGTAAACATACAGACATGGAATCAGGAAATCAGTGGGGTCGAAGGTCATTTGCTAATCTTGGAACCACATAGCTAAAATGGCAATTGTATTGGTAAACATTTCATGAGCATGGTAGTTGACAGAAAATTCCCTAGTGGGGTTAACTAACAGACTAAGGACATGCATTGGTTACAGGACTTTGTCCTAGAGGACTCCAGGCCCTAGTGTTCTAGTCGTCTTCCTCGTCTTCCTCATCGCTGTCCTTCATGCTGATCCCCTGCAGGCCCCCACCCTCGCTCACTGATGCCGTGGCTTCTTCCACAGTGAGCCGGTTCCGGATGGTTTCGTACGTCTTGCTGTTTAAGGTTGAGTCCAGGACCCCTTGCAATCGGAAATCTCTATAGGTTTTCTAAGGAGGGAAAAGATCAGTGATAAGAGAGATCTCATCTCCATGAAGGGAGGGAAAGGACACAAGGCACTTGTGGGTGTGAGAACACTGACCTTCGGCTAAGTGACTCACTCTATGCATTGTCAAATGAAAAGCCACCGTGCTCAGGTTTCACTGGTACTGAAAACTGAGATTTGCCGAATAACAGAAAATGAGAAATTGTGGCAGGATAAACTGTATTAGCTGAGACAAAGCAAAGAACATAAGCTTGTGTTTATTCAGTTTCATAAAGAGAAATGTTCCATGATTGTTTTGATTCTCTCTCTCTCTCTGTTTTTTTTTTTTGGTCAGGTTCTTTCTCTTACGTTAGTATAATACAGTATGATAGACTGTGTAAGGGGCCGTAACACATAAATAATGGATCAACTGATTATGGTATTTTGCCATTTCCTTTGCAGTCTGGTCTTTAATATTTTTGAGGCTCATAACTGCGTATCTCTCTGTCTCATTCACAAGACAGACATATGTATGTTGGTATATGAAACCTAGTATGGGCAGCAACAATTATGGGGAAGATGGAGTGCTAATGCCTCATCAATATGTCGCAGACATGTGATTCATTTCTTATCTCCCTGGGAAAGAAGAGTATCTATTCCGTTCACAACTTCATGGTCTCGGGGAAGAAATTTGGCTCTTTTTCAAGAACAATGGCTTGGTATTACTGTACCACAAATTCTTTGTTCCTTCAGGCGATTTCTCTCAGATTTCCTGAGGTATCCCAGGTACTGTTTTGTTTTCCTTTTTTTTTTTTTTTTTCCTAGAAATCCCTTAACGTTAATTGAACATGACCAGAAGCATCTGGCTGTTGTCTGCTTCTTAACATTTTTTTGGAAAAAGGTCTCTAACAACTTTTCTCATCACACTGCATATCATTTCAGCTACTGATTCTGCTGTGTGTTTCTTCTATTGATGTGGGACACTTGCTAAAGGGGCATGAGAAGGAATGTTAACATACTTCAGTGCATTCCCATTGGGACTTCCATTTCTTGTCGTCCATCTAAAGCAATTAAAGTATCAACAATCACAGTGTCAACCCCTCTTGAAGGTCACATGTTGTAATGACTGCAGAATTAACTAGTGAATGCAGTCGGCCCAGTGAAGTCCAATAATAATCAGATTATGGATATGATGACCACGTGTCCCCTTTATACCTGTTGTCCCAGCATGATTAATCACGGCACCTTCTTTCCTTTGTAAAAGTAATCTGATTTTGGCATAAGTTAATAGGTCCTCCTAATTATGGATCAAACTGCAAGGTTCTCCTAGGTAGCTAGATAGCTACCTGACTTGTCTTCACCTTGACGGGAAAGGGTAGGAGGCTGAGTAAATTCTAGGCATGGTGTAGACCAGATATCCAGAAGATTAACTTGATTTTTTTGTGCTTTTCAATCAGTTCTGTTTCCACTTAAGATAATATAATTGGTGCCAGAGTATGATGGGAAAAAGAAAGGTAGAAAGCACTTGAGTATTCTCCCCTTTATTCAAATTCCAGAGCAGCATTCCCCAACTCAACTCTAAATGCCTCAGACAGGGACCTTATCTAGTCATTTTAAAATTCTCCATCTTGTAATATATGGGAAGGGGCTCAACTAATACTTATCCAGTGTTGGATGAGTGAATAAATGCTTGCTGAAGAATGAATGAATGAATGAATGGAGGAATGGAGGAATGAAGGGAATGGATGTGGAGGCAGGAAAGAAAGCCAACTGTCTTTGGAAGTTTGCCTCGGGGTAGGAGACCTCTGGTTAATGTGCTTGGTGAAGAGGTGGTGCATTCTGCTTCATACCTGCGTGTTGTGACACTGGTTAGGCTGAGCCCATCTCTGGCAAAAGTGAAGGGAGTTCTTTTGCCAGTGACATTTCTGTCCCTTCTCTGTGGTTCATGTCTGTGTTTTTTTGGCAGAAGGCTAAGAATCAACCTTCTCTCAGACTTACATTTTTTCCTTAATGAAATATTTATTGCTAGTTCCAATATCCCAACATAGATCTAGAGACAGCAGTAATGGGAAGATACATATTTTAAAATCTTAAAAATTAATGTCTCCTTTTAATGTCCCCCCAGTAAGTGTCAAACAAACAAACAAAAAAATCCCCCCAAAGAAGAGTATTTATACCCAGGAAATGGAATTGAAGTGGTCAGGCAATGGCTAGTGAGCTTGCCTTAAGGAACTGAAATTTTAAAAATATGAAATTAGGCTGGGTCTATGGCCCTAGTGCATACATTTCTTTTTTAAGAGCTGTAATACACGGCTGTCTGTAACCTTCCCTGGGCAGACGCTTTGTGAGATCAAATGCAGATGATAATACTTCTCTTTAATTACACTCAACAGAACAGTAATTGGTTTTAAGTCAGCACTGGGGTAGAGGAGTACCTTCAATGAAATGGTGCTAATCCTAAAGAGACTAAGAAATGGGGTAGGGGTGGAGGGGGGGTGGGGGATGGCAGGAAGAAGAGCAGAG